CCCAAATGCAAAAGATTCTACAGAAACATTAAATATTAAAGATGCTCATGAATCAGAACATTCATTACCATGAGGAGTTAGGTCTCCTCAAGTCAACATTTACTTTCAATGCACACTGAAAAAAAAATTCAATCTGATTGGAAACATGTTAATGATCACAAAATCCACATCAAGAACATAAGCTCAGGGTGGACAAGACGGCTCAGTATGGTAAGGCACTCATCACAAAACAACCTGACAAATCGAGTGCAATTTCTGGGAGCCACTTGGGAGAAGAAGAAAAACATCCCCTGAAAATAGTCCTCTGACCTACACACACACACACACACACACACACACACACACACACACACACACACACGATAAAGAAATGTAATTTAAAAATAAAAGTTCAAACAGTAGCTGCAAATAACAGAATATACAAAATAAAGTGACTTCAGCAGTAAGAAATTTATTATTTCAGCTCACTAGAGACCCAACATTGGTTACTGCAGTCCCATGATGACATCATAAGGGCCTGGGACCTTTTTATTCAGGCGGTCTCAGTGAGCCAGCTTCCAGTGCGTCTCCTGCAGTGGGAAGACATCTGCCACAGTGTCAGGCTTGGTATTTCCCTCCAATTTTATACAAAGATAGGAAGTGTAAGTCTCTTTCTTAAGTACTTTTTAAAATAAGAGGACCCTTCCCAACCTCCTCCACTTTTACTTTAACATAATTCCATCTAGTTTTCATTGGAAAGATATTGAACCCATCCTATGCGATGGATTTAGACTACACAGCATGGGTTCAGGGTCCACAGATGCCTGAGAACAATGGGGATTCCCAGTTAGAAAGTTGAAAGAGATGCCATCTGTTGGCCAGATAGTCTACCATGATAGTTAAGAAATTGAAGAAAAATATAAGTCTGGACAATGTTCTACCAAATATCAAAATTTAAAATCAGAGATGGCACAAGAAGTCAGAATTGAAAAAAAAATGAACTATTGAATAGGTATGTGTTGGAATAATTGTATATGTATATACTATTTTACCCCATAACAGCTTAACTTGATTGAAAGACTTAAATGTGAACACTAAAGTTATGTAGTCCTCAGAAAAACTATAGATTATCTTTACACACTTGGGATGGGAAAGAAATCAAATGAAGCACAAAAGTATAAAACATGAAAGACAGTACTACTGTATTTCAGCAATTTAAAATAAAAGGATGTCAATTACTCAATTACTGGGCAAGCCTCAATGAAACAATTCACTATTAGGATACGAATTTGTACTGTATCAAGCTGATAATAGAAAAATAAATAAATAAATAAAAATTAAAAAAAATAAAAGGATGTCATTACCAAAGTAAATAAGATAAACTTAGGTATTTTCCCATCAACATGCTAGTACTGAAAATTATAATGATCTTAGAGAGCAATTAAAAAAAAAAACTAGAAAGAAAATTGTTGAAAGATTTGGATAGACAAATCCCAGAAGAAGGAGAAGCCTAAAGACCAAACACACAAGGAAATGTTCTCTCTCAATAGAAACTCGGGTAAAACAAAACTTTAAATGTCACCATTCATATCTATAAATTGGCAACAAAATCTTTAGTTCTGAATATATCTGATATTTAAAAGACATAGATAAGCAGAACTCTCGGGAAACCAAAATCAAAACTTCCATGACAGTCAATGCTGAGACCCAGTAGCCCCAACTCTTGGGTCCACCGCCTGTATTAGTGAATCTCAGCCAAAGTGGTTGTGCTCCTGAGGAAACACCTACCAGTGTGTGAAGACAACTCTTGTGGTCACACACAGGAAGCAGCGGTGCTCCAGGGATGTAGGGGAAGGAAGGGAGGGATACTGATTGGCGGATTGCTCCTCAATGAACGTTAACTGCAGCACTGTTTGCTAGAGCAAATAGTAAACTAAAAAATAACCCACCAGTTCTTCAAGTAAGAGAATAGAGTAACTTGAAGAAAGTCAAATGAGGCACGGATTTACAGCAGTTGTAAGAAAGGAGTTTATTCTTTGGGTTGCAATATGGAATCTATAAACTGATGATGAATAAAAAGTACATGATGATGATATATTTTATATTTTATACTCTATAAACAAAGCAGTACTATATATATATACTGTTTATTAATACATCCATATAATGAGAGTATAAATGCATACATGGGAATGACTTATGATTTATAACAACTTCAAGATAACAGTTACTTTTGGGGAGAGAGGAGGAAAGAGATTGAGATAGGAAGGAACTTCAACAATACTTAAAGACTTCTTACAACAGACCCACAAATAATTCAAATACTAAGATCTGTACGGGTGGGTGTTTTAAGTGCAGATGTCTGATAAAGCATTTAATGCTTGTTTGAGATGTTTCATAATAAAGATATATTTAAACATTTTAGGAGTTACATTTGCAAAAATGAGGTGTGTGTGTGTGTGTGTGTGTGTGTGTGTGTGTGTGTGTGTGTGTGTGTGACTCAGAAGTTTAGTGTAGGGAGTCCAGGCTTCTGGAAGAATCTTATCCCAAAGGAAGAGAGTAAGAGAAGTGGCCTCTCTGGAAACAGAACATGCCTGTGCAAAGACCCTCTTCCAGAGTTTCTTGGCTTGGGGAAAACTGGCTTTCCTGCGGACTGGGGCCTAGCAGCCGGACCACTGTCCATGGTCCTATTCTGCCCCGGCGGAATTGTGAGGCAAGCTCAACTCTGCTTTGCAGGAAGACATGCAAGTGTTATGGATAGAGCTGGGGAGCAGAGGGAAGGGAAATGTGGACACAGCTGGCTGGGTATTCGGACAGAAGCTCCTCCTACCTGCAGCCGATGCCGCTAGCGGGAAGGGATCTGTCTGGAAGGCCATTCTCTGGTAAAGAACAGCTTCCCACAGTGAGGCACTGAGGCCTACTTGGCGTGACAGGGCTGTCATATCCTCAGCAACTCACATTTACAGCCACGAGCTCTCCTGTTCCAATGCTTTTCACTGTTTCTTTCCCAGAAGACTAGTCAATATTCATTCTTGCTTATGCAGAAATACACAGAGACTAGCAAGTCCTCTCACAGGCTCAGGGTCTATTAGCCAATATTTTGTCCTAAGTCAGTGAAGCTAAAAGAAAGGCATGAGGAACTCAACCAGGAAAGATATTTTATGGGCATCTGAGAGTAATTGCCCATCTTTTTAAAAAAGAAACAACATTTCCTAGGATCCCAGGAGGTGTCTGGCGTCACACAAAGTGATCTGAGCATGAGAGTGCAGAATACAATGTTTGGGAACACAGTGCTCCTCAGGGACTTAAAATTAATGCAGATCCAAAACAGTGCTTAACAAATACAAGAGCTGGTTGGAATAAATGGGGAAAGACAAAGTGAAAGGCGAAGGGCCCCACCCCACACCCCACTGATAAGCTGGGAGAATGAGAAAGCAGAAAACGCCAAGCCAGTGGACCCGAGGAGAACACAGACTCACAGGATGGGCAGAGCACAAGGATATTTACCCTGAAAAGCCAATGTGTAGACTTGGTTACTTGTACACACACACACACACACACACACACACACACACACACACACACACACATCAATAGCTATTTCTAAGAAGCCACGGGCCAAAAAAAAAAAATCACTCCCCACCAAACAAAACCCCTCAACAGCCCCCACTTGTTTCTTCTGCAGATGGAGTCAAAACCATCTGGTATACAGAGAAACTGTTTAGGGGAAAAAGCTCTAGTGTCAGCAGACGTAATGACCAAAACTGAGAACGCAACCCTGGGTAAGAGCTCTAATGGAGACAGGTGCAATCGGGTTGTGGATGGTGATTTTTATCAGCAAGAAGAAACTGTGCTAAAAGCTCCATTTGGCGTACTTTAGGTTCCTTGGTAAGCTAGTGAGGAATTTTCACAAGGCTGTTTGTTATGTAATGGGAGAGACGCAGCGGTACATGAATGCTGTGCTACATAGGTAAGGAAGTATCCTAACAGAAATGAGTTCTCTGGGACAGTGTTGTTGTACCAGCAAGGTGAAGGTCACTGGAAATGCAGGGACCTTCCTGGTCCTCAGACTGAGCTTTCTCTGCCATTGCAGCCTGACTGTGTTTCCTGCTTTAACTTCAACCTTGCTAACCTAAGCATACCAGAGGGGTTGGTTTTAGGGGATTCAGTTGCTTAAAAGTATTTTTATTTTTTAATTATGTGTGTGTGCATGTCTGCATGTGTGTGTGTGGGGGGGGGGTATATACAGGTGAATACAGGCACCCAGGGAAAACAGAGGTATTGGATTCCTTTGAGCTGGAGTTACAAGTGGTTGTGAGCTGACTCATTCAGTTTGGAATTGAACTTGGGTCTTTCTGCAAGAGCAGTTTGTGTGCTTAACCACTGAGCCATCTTTCCATCTCCCAAGAGTCAGTGGTACACACTAATGTCCAGCTTCTAATTTGGGGACTTAATGACTACTGAAATCTGCTCACCCTGACATTTGCAAGTTCATTCTAGTATTATAAGCATAGGCTGCATGTCTCTATGTGTAGATTTAAAGGGTCTAGAACTTTTATTCCACTGTGCAAGGTAAATCATGGGACAGTTACTTCCACATAAATATCTAAAGGGAGCCGGGCGGTGGTGGCGCACGCCTTTAATCCCAGCACTCGGGAGGCAGAGCCAGGAGGATCTCTGTGAGTTCGAGGCCAGCCTGGGCTACCAAGTGAGTTCCAGGACAGGCGCAAAGCTACACAGAGAAACCCTGTCTCGAAAAACCAAAAAAATAAATAAATAAATAAATAAAAAAATCTAAAGGGCATCTCAAAACTGGCACGGTCAAAGGTTAATTCTTGTTTGTTTTCTTTTTTTTCTTTTTTTAATTTTTTTTATTTTTTTTTCTTCGAGACAGGGTTTCTCCGTGCAGCTTTGCGCCTTTCCTGGAACTCACTTGGTAGCCCAGGCTGGCCTCGAACTCACAGAGATCCGCCTGCCTCTGCCTCCTGAGTGCTGGGATTAAAGGCGTGCGCCGCCGCCACCACAGCCCGGCTCTTGTTTGTTTTCTTAAACTTCTTGTATCAGATAAAATAATGGGCTGAAAGGGAGGTTAACTTTTTAATTATTTTTAATAAACAAGATGTTTGGCTGGAATGTAGCTTAGTGGACAGAGTGCTTGTCTAGAATGCACCAAGCCCTGGATTCGATCCCCAGCATTGCATATGACCAGGACAGTGACAGTGCAGAACCCTAACACTAGTGAGGGAAAGGCAGGAGGGGCCAAAGCTCTCACTCATCCTCAATCTTCAAGTACATAGCAAGTTCAAGGCTTGCCTGGAGTTATGTAAGATGGCAGATCAATAAATGATTAATGGTATTGCTTCAACCACTCAACCATACTATTTAGGACACAGGGATTCTTTCTATCTTGCCATCCTTAACGTGTTGATCTTTAATTTTCATGCCTTTTGTCTTAAAATCAGGACGTCTACCACGGTTCCAAGAGTTGTAATGGAACTCCAGACAGCTCCATGTATCCCCAAAGGCTTTCCCTCAGATCTCATTAGCTAGGAATAAGACTTCCTTAGCTGCAAAGAAGATGGGGAAATTGAGTATCTATCAAAAGAGGATGGGATTTTTATGACTGAATCATACCACTGTGATTCATCACTTGGTGCTAGATGTACTGTCATTTGAAGCAAGCCAGGGCTCTGCTTGTAAGGAGGGAGAGAGGGATGGCTACTGGGAAGGAAATAACAGGCTCTGCTCCTTACTCCCGGGAGAAGGTTTCAGAGTCCCTGGAACTAGAGTTACAGGCCATTGTGAGCGGCCAGGTTTGGGGCTGGGAACAAAACTGAGGTCCTCTGAAAGCTCAGCAAGTGCTGAGCCACCTCTCAATGTCCTAGGATGTGTTTGTTCTCACTTAGCTCTTGACTGTCAGTGTGACTAACCGCTTGAGTTCCGGTCTTGACTGGCCCCAGAGTGACGGACTTGGAATTGTCAAATAAACCCTTTCCTCCTGTGTGCTGCTTTCTACCAGGTCATTTGCCACAGCGGCAGAAATGAATATAGAACACGCCTCCTCATGGAGCCTGTACTGAAAAGTAAGGATGCCTTTGTTTTCTAACCCCTCATCTTAGGACATGAGCTTCCGGTGAGCAGGGGCTTTATCTGTTGTTTTCACTGCTGTGTTCCTGGTACTTAAACGATGCTAAGGTCTCACAGATGTTTATGAATGAATGAATGAATGAATGAATGAATGCATGCATGCATGAAGGGTGAGATTTTAAAGTGCAAACTTTGGGAGTAAACGTAACATCTGTAACATATTGTCAGCATCCTTGAAATGATCCATTATGGAGAAAAATGACTTAATTAAAAGACACAGAATGTGTGCTGCTTTAGGATATCTCGATAAATATCACTGACTGCAACACTGATATCTCCGACCCTGCATCTTTCCGCATGCCCTCTCCTCCAAAGCTGCACACATCACTTGCGCTCTAAGTTCTGTTACTCAATGCCGTTACTGAATGTCTTCTACAGCAGCTGAACTTTCTCTCTGCGATCGCCTGACTGCTTCTCTCGCCATTTTCTGAACGTCTGGGAGAATTCGAAAGAAACATCTGGGAGATGTCCTCCCTCCCTGCATTTTTGGCCATAATTTCAGAAAGAAGAAAACCTAAATGTTCTCGAGAGAAGATAGGAATCTTTAGCCTCTGAAATGCTTTCCCTTTTTCTTACATTTTTCATATTTTTACACTTGTTCTTTCCAAAGGTCAAAGCTATCTCCTCTTCCTTAACCAAAATAGAAAAGGTTCATTGAATAGTTCTCCCAGCAAAAATAATGAAAAGACCAACAAAATGAATATGGCATCTTTTTCCTTCTCCCTTTCTATGATCTTCTTAGCCTTTTCCTGGCCTTCCCATTTCTTAGACGGCCTACTGTGGGCTCAAACTTTTAGATCAGTAGTTAGTGGGGCCCACACACCTACCCTGCACTGTAGACCTCTAGTATACCTACAGGTAATAGCATGTGGAAATTAAAATGGGGGACGTTCATACCCACTGTAGGGGCATAACATCCCAGTAAAGCTTATTCAACATATCCAAAATGCACCCATATTTAGAAAAGAAAAGTCAAGTATCACTCAAAAAGCATACACATGTGCACACATGCTTGCACACACAAAATCACTTTATGTTTGAACTTCTAGGATTGTTCATAGGACGTAACAAATTGGCTGGAGCTGGAGTCCAGTGATAGGGCACTTGCCAAGCATGTTCAAGGCTCTGGGTTCAATTCCTAGTGCTGCAAAAGACAAACAAAAACATGAAAATAACAAAAGATTTACCATCTTCTAAGACCTTCAGTGAATATATTAAAAAAACAGGAATGAACTACTGCTCTGGGTTCATCAAAATCGTAGCCTCTGTCCCTTCTTTACACACAACTGTACTTCTTCAGCACAATGCTCCCCTCTCCATACGAGACACCCTGCTTCAACCCTAACCCTCGTCTCTAACTCTTAGAAATCCACAAGTCCTTGAAGCACAGCGTGCTTATCAAAAGGTTTTTTTTTATGGTGTATTGTAGAAAAGTATCAGGGTGCAGACCCCCAAATACGTATGCATTTAAAAATAAGACCTATATGTATGTTTAAAACCTAAATAACGAAGGGAATAAAATAAAATAAACTCTTTGACTCAGCCCTACCAAGAGCCTGTTTCCAGACTGTATCTCAGGTTTACTGGATGACCATTTTTACCACAGTAGGCGAAACCGTGGAGATGGCTGCCCCAGACGGGTTAGCCAGTGAAAGAAACTGAAATCTAGGGACTTGCTGTGGAGGGACTTTCGTCTCGAAGGAGCTTTCTTGAACCAATGGAGATCACCCAAGTAGGCCCAGGCTAATAGGTAGGTCCTTTAAGGAACCGTTTTCCTCAGTTGGTGGAAAAGCAAGCTGAGAGTCCACATGGGGGAGAGATGTGAGGGTGCTTGCTGGCCGTGAAGATGGAAACATCGAGGACCAGGAATACCAGGGTCTCTAGGAGCAGCTGACAGGACAAGCAGTTTTTCTTCCCCAGGGCATCCGGATGAAAGCCAAACCTAAATGATATCTTGCTTTCTACCTTCGGAACCTTAAGCAGAGAATCCAGCCAAGGCCACCTTGATTCCTAGGACCTATGGAATAGTGAAGTCCACTGAATACCTGGGGTGTGGTTCCAGCCTCTCAAATCTGTGGTAATTTGTCCCACAGCAGTAGAAAACAAATACATCCCCTCAGCTTCCCCCAGCTTGAAATGAAGTCAGCACCACCAGGCTGTTCCTAAGAACCATCCCAAAGCCGATGCTAAGCTTTAATGGGCACGTTGCAAGTTTGACTGAAAAGAAACGTAGTCAGTTATTGCTGAAGACTGTGATGTTCCTATTAATTACAATGCTCACTGAGGCTCAATCAAGAACAATTAGACCCTTTAACCCTAGTTACATTTGCTTTGGCACACTTCTAACAGTCGCAGGACAGAGCTAACTTTAGAAGCCGCGTCATACGGGTCAAAGGCATGGAACTGTTACTTCAGGGAGGATGTAATTTAACCTGCAGCTCTTCCAATTCACAAAATGATCTGTGGAATTTATCGGTGTTGTACCAGATATTGCATCTACATTTCAAATTCAGAGATTTTTTTTTCTTTTTAAGCTTTATTTCCCTTCTTGAAAAATGACCTTCTCCTTGGAAAATTCTGTTGAAATCTGGCAAGCTATTTCTGATCTTGAAAAAAAAATCATGAGAGAAGAGGCAAGGGGGATCATACACATTTTAATAAGACTGATCACTGAGACGAAGGAAAGACTCAAAACAGGTCACAAACATTCTGAGCACATATATTCCTCTCTAAGTAGACAGAGAAGGGTGTGCTACCGAACCTGCTAGCTGATTTCTCCTCCAGGAAATGAGAGGTAACCATGGACACTCTGCTGAGCACAATTCAAGAGCAGATGTAGTTTAAACAAAGCTATGTGGGGAAGAGAACAGGATGGCGGTTCAAGAGCAAGAGGTTGTACCCAGAGCGAGGGCACTCCAACACAGGGGTTGGCTTTCCATACAGGAAGAGCTGGCTGCAAGTGTGGAGGTGACAACAGCATGATCCTAGGCAAGTGACACCAATTCCCCAAGTTATGGTTTACTCAAGCCAAATCCAGGTAACTTTTCAATGTTCTCAGCACAAGGCCTGAGTCATGGACCACTCAGTTAACAATGGCTGCTCTGTGAGCAGGCAATCTCATTCCCTCTGCTGAGCTTGCCCCAGAGTTCCTACAATCATCTCTGTTCGAACATATACAATCCTACTGGCTAGATCCAAACTTCATGTTCAAAACTAAAGATAAGAAGCCATTAGCCATCCTAGAAGCCCACAGCAAGGACAGGAGTACTTACTAGACTCACAAGAGGAAGGACTTACAGGCAACTGTCCACAAATAAAGATTTCATTCTAAAACAACCTTATTTTCTGGTCCTATCAGTTGACAATGATTTGGCCATTGAAGATGATATTTTGCCAACAAGGTCCACTTTCTTGGCTCCCCTAAGTCATTAATTACGACCATGTTTTCCCAAATGTGGAAATTCCCCTTGCTCAGATGCAGCCACTTGCTGGCCAACCCTCCTTTCCTGAGAAACCTCCACAGCACAAAAATATTTTTGTTTTCCCCAACTGCCCACAGGGAAAATTTCCTCACTCTTCTTTTCTCCCTCTTCCTTTAAAGCCTTCTGGCAATTTCCAGGAATACAAAGTAAGGCATCATTACTAACTTAGATCACCGAAGAGCTGTTGAGACATCCTACATCTCACATGACAAGAAGGAATATGAACTTCAGATTTCACATAAATAAACTACGTCTATGAGTTTCTTTTAATCAAGGAAGGCAATCTGACTGAAATTAAAATGCCTCCCACTCCTGCCCAGGAATATGTTTCTAGGACTTGAGTGCTTCTATTATAAAGAGTGGTGTCCAGAGTGATTGGTGTCACCTCTAGATAAAGTAGCATTACACAAAACATGACTCAAACATAGGTGAGCCTTTTACGAACCCAGATATAAAACAATATAGACGGATTAGTCAAATAGTAAAAATCTTAGAAAGGAGGTGGGGAGATAGCTCATGTGATAAAACGCCGGCCTTGGAAGCACTATGAGCCACAGAACTCAAGTTTTAAAAGGCTGGGAAACTGGGTGTGATGGCCTGTGACTCCCAGGAGCTCACTGGCCAGCCCGCCTACTGTACTTGGTGAATTTCAGGCCAGTAAGACATGCCATCTCAAAACAAACCATTTTTAAGAGAGATAAATAGTTAAGGAAATAAGTAAGGTGGGCAGAGCTTGAGGAATAACACCTAAGGCTGTTCTCGGGCCTCTGCACGCATGTGCACATGTCACTTGTGCACACACAAACACTCCAAATGTTAGATGAGTCATCCAGGTTGCCTTATTCCTGTTCTGAGCTGCTGGTGCCGGGCTGACGACAGCAGAGGAACCCTGGAGATATTTTGTTCTTTTCAGAACATTGAAGAAGCATTTCTGTGCCAGAGACTAAAATTAGTTGGTGGAGAAGGGGTGATAGAGTGATGAATCAGACCGGGTCTGAGCCCCTCCAGTCTTCCCAACCTAGTAAAAAGGCAAGATGTACACCCCAGCTCTCGGGCTGGGGGAGGTGCCAGTCTGCTCCTTCCCTTGGAGAACTCTGGTAACAGCTGGAGACATTTTTGATTATCAGAACTGGAGGGGGAAGTGCCATTGGTACCTAAAGGATGCAGCTAGCCACCCGATAATGCAAAACACAGACTTCCAACAGCAGAGAATTATCCAGTCCCAAAGTCAATAGTGCAGGGCCAAGAAGCCTTGTACTAGCTGTATTAGCTGGAATAGAGGACTTACTGACTGCCTGATCAATGAATTGATTAATTGGTGGTGGTCCACATGGTAAATGACTTTCACCCTAAGCCCCTAGTCACTTTGAATTTATTCAAATTAGTGTGTTCCTTAAAGCATCAAATTAGTGATTTTGAACAAAGTTTGAAATTTCAACCATTAAAAAACTGAGATTATCACTTGACAAATTTAGGAGAATGAGGAAGCAGGATTTTAAAGCACAGCCTTAACATTTTATATATGATGTGGCTCCTGCTCCTTATATATAGTAACAGGTTAAGCCAAGCATCGGTTGCTTAGTATGTACCATGTGCATTCATTATGTTTGCATAGCTTCACCAGACTCTGACAGAGACAACCTAAAGAGCACGGATTCCTTCCTTCATTTCTTCCTTCTGGCCTCCCTCCCTCCCTTCTCTCCCTTTCCCTCTCCTTCCTTTCCTTTTCAAATTATTTTTTCCTAATTTTGTGTATTTGTTTGTTTATTTTACATGTATGGGTATTTGCCTGAATGTATGTCAATATATCAAGTGCATGCCTTGTCTCCCTCAGAAGCCAGAAGGGGTCAGATGGTCTGGGAATAGAGAACAGGTTGTTGGGAGCCACCTCATTTGTTCTGAGAATCAAACCTAGGTCCTTTGGAAAAGCAGCCGAGGTTCTTAACTGCTGAGTCATCTTCCCAGGCTCTCCTTCTGAAATTAAGCTAAGTCATTTTGTGGTTTGAGAGAGAGAGAGACTCACATGGTATCCCAGTTTTGTCTGGAACTACATAGGCCAGGCTGGCAGGAAACCTGGCAACCCTCCCACCTCAGCCTCCCAAGCCGGATTACAGACTTGTGTCTGGCATGTCTGGCATAGGGGACTTTATTTTGGCTCACGGTTTTGGAGGGCTTCAGCCTATTGTGGAGGTAGTGGAGGAGTTGGGACTGTGGCAACAGGAGCATGAAGAGGAGAGAGGTCCTTCAGGAAGCAAAGAACATGCTACAACCAGGAGCCAGGCTATCACTCTCAAAGGCCCACCCCCAGGCCTACTTCAGGTAGTTCAGTCTCACTTCCTGCAAGTTCTCCAACTTACCTTAATGGTACCACCAGCTGAGAGACAAGCAATCAAAACATGAGGGGGGAGGGCCTGGGGGTGGGTTTCAGATTCAAACTATGGCCCAAGTACCACTAATAAGAGATTAGTTATGTAACCACTTTTAGTTTGGGATTAATTAAAAATGAAACCATATTGTTAATACTAAACATGTTAGTGAAAAAACATGATTTATTTTACTAAAATTCTTTAACACATCTTTTTTCAGAAAAAAATGGTGAGGTAGTCTAATATTCTAATGTCAGTGAAATAAACAGTCATTGTTACTGGGATATCTGTAATTTTGATGAAGCAATTACCTTCACTGGGCTCTGTGGGTTACCCAGGAGACAGTGGCTTTCTTCTTCGGCCTTTTTGACCTATATGTAAGTTGATGAGTAAGTCAGGAAATGGCCTGTAATTGTGTATTAGTACTCATCCAATACAAATGGAATGGGAGAACTACCACACAAATCTCAAACACAAATACCTGGAATAATCAACCATTTGGATTAGCATTAATGTTCTCTGAATATAACACACAGCACAGAGACCACAGGGTTCTTGGTATTTGCAACACGAAGAAGCAAAGCTTGGGAATTTTCCAGTCAAATTTTTGCCTAATGCGAATTTAGTAAAGCTTGCTTAGGAGCAGAGATGAGTGTTCTCTTTGCTTCTCATAAAGGAATAAGTAAAGAAAATCATTTCAGCGCTACGTAACAAAAGCAATCTCACAGAGGATGGGGGCCCTTAGTAAATAAGCAGGATTTAAAAATGATGCACATTTTAAATACCAAAAATTCAAAATTTAAAAGAACAACATTTGGCCTGAGGCAGCTCACCGGGAGAGCTTGTCTATCATTGATGAGATGCTGGGTTCGGAGCAGCAATATTGTGACACTCAGTAGAACCTGACTTGGGAAGACATCTAGTATTTTCAGAAAAAGTGTGGGACTGGGGGCAGGGGACGAAGTTCAGCTGGTGGAGTTCAGATTCCCAGATGCCACAAAAAGCTGGGTGTGGCAGTGAGTGCCTGTAACCCCAGGAGTGAGGAGATGGAGGCAGGAGGCCCCCTGAGGCTTACTGGCCAGCCAGTGTAACTGGATCATTGAGCTCCAGGTTCAGTGAGAGCGCATGTTCCAAAAGCTAAAGCAGAGAGGAACCGAGGAAGACACCCACTGGAAGCCTCCGACTTAACCACATGCATGTGCACTCATACATGCGCACACGCATGCGTGCAGACCCTTCACACACAGAAAAGTGTTGTAGCTTGTAAAAATGGGCCATCATTGTGGCCTCCTTTTATTTACAATAAAAAAGACAAAATCTGGATTTCCTTCTATTTTCTATTCCAAGGATAAGTCTGGAGTGTTTAATAACTGCTACAGCTAGGCACTGACCAATCAAAAGAGATGTCCAAGTAACCAGAGTGACCCGACTATATGCACAAGCTAGGCAGCAGCTTGCATTATTTAACATGGTCAAAAGCCCCGGTTTACAGCTGCTTTCTGAACCGCAGACAGTAGGAAACATCCCTCTCCTACTTCGATATGATTCAGAACAGAGGAGCTGAACTAAGGACTAGAAAATGTGTGTACAGAAGAAAATTCAAATATTTCCAAGGTTTATTGAATTCAGTTTTATAATTGCTTATCAACTGAGAATTCTAATTAATTCTAATTAATTGCCTTCCTATCATAGCTTTCAGGTGAGTTTTTTAAAAGTCAGGTTTTGGGTTTCCTTACTGGACTATCAGTAAAGCCAAACATAACAGCCCAAATGTATGCCACTTTTAAAAATTCTAAACTACCCTAGCACTCAGGAGACTGAGACAGGAGAATTTCACATTCAAGGCCAATCTGGTTACTTAGCGAATTCTAGGCTAGCTTCAGCTACATGGCAAGACCCTGTGTCAACAAACAAACAAACAAACAAACAAACAATAAATAAATGAGCTGACAAAATGGTGTAGCAAGTAAAAGTGCTTGCTGCACCAGCCTGACGACCTCAGTTCAATTCCTCGGACCGGCAAGGTAGAAGGAGAGAACTGACTCCCAAAGGCTGAACTCTGACCTCCACCCTAGCACTGCCGCATTGTTTCCTGCGCGCGCACACACACACACACACACACACACACACACACACACACACACACACACACACACACACTAAAAAAAAGACAAATAAATAAGCTTTCATTTCTAGATGTGACATGATGTTCCCCTAACATCTGCCATCTTTGGGTGATGGAAGGTAGCAGCTTCCTGTTTTCTCTGTGCTCTTCAGTGTGTGGATGTCTTTACAAGACATTAAATAATAATCATCTAAAATCCTCTCAATCTACCCACTTAGCCAACACCTCAGTTAAGTCTTTGCTCCTCTCCTAACTCGTCACCCAAATTTGCTTCTCAAAACCTCACCGCCACTTCCATGGCCGTGACTCATTTTACACGAATCTCCTATGAGGCCAAAGGGAAAGGATGGGGTGTCTGGCTGATTGCTCAGGGCACTTGACCTCTGCGGCTTTTCCTCTGCTATCTGCGTTCTTGGTGTTGTCGTAACCAGCTGTTTCAAAATACTGCTTAACTTTCCACATTCTTCTAAAAGGAGGAGCACAGTATACAGTATTTAGGAAACTTGGGGACACGGTGCTTGCTCAACTTAAATAGTTCTTGAAAGCCCTGGACTGTCATTTAAGGCAGGGTCCCTGCATGAACTAATCTCAGAATTTCTTTTGTTGCACAGGTGAGTTAGAGGGGTAAAAGGATGAATCCGGAAGACATCTGGACGATGCTCAGATACTCAGGCTTGGAGGTAGGCAACTTGGACCAATGGAACCTAAGTCTCCTTTAGCCAAATAAATGACTCAGCTTCCTCGCTTTCCTCAGGGACCCTAAGGGGGTATACTTCCTTGAGACCGGGTAGTATTAGGGTCCTCCTCCTCCCCTTCCTCCTCCCCTTCCTCCTCCCCTTCCTCCTCCTTCTTTTCTCATTGTACTTATAATGGTATGTGTGCTTTAATGGCCCACCTAAATAAACCAAGGTCAAAAAAAATAGGATGAGTTTTTGTCATGGGCAAAGTTTCAAAGTCAGGCTGCATGGCTCTGGAGGACACACGTCCACGAAAAGGGACTTGAGTTGACCTCTCCTCTTCATCTTCAGATTCTGTGCTCTGAACTCTGATCGCCCTTCTTATGCTGCATCATACTGGAATGGTACGAGTCTCTACTGGCCACCATCCTCGTTTTGTGTAGAATCAGAGGCTTCTGTGAGAGTGTCAGCTCTGAGAATTAAACCAAGGAGGAGAGGTGGGCGGGAAAGCGCTCCTAGGCTATGCGGAGCTGTCCAGCAGTGAAGGAGCTGCATCAGCGAAGTCTCTGTGAATCACACTGAGCGTGGCAGCTGGGAGTGGGGATTCATCTAGAGCATGCCTAACCAGAAAGACTGTGTGCATGCCTGCATGTATACAACTGTTTTCTTTTCTTTAGGTTTCAGCTACTCACAGAATCCTTGGTCTTAAAATATGAAATGGACAGTTCTAGAGAGGAAAAAATTATAAATTTTAAATTGCATGCCGTTCTGAGAAGTAGGATGAGAGTTCACGCCATGCCCTCCTGAGATGTGCATTATCCCTTTGCCCAGTGCATCCACACTGTAAGTGGCACGTGAGACACTTAGCAGCCACCGTGGCTAGCACGTTAACTGTCACTAGATCAAAGTGATTCTTTGAAGTAACCCTTAGTTGACTTACTAATGGCTTCAAGGCATAATGGTGCTGATGACATAAAGGATTTCCTCTAAGTGAAGAGGTGGACTTTCTTAACTTGCTAAGGAAAGAAAAAAGTAGATGCTGAAGTTTTGGAGACCTCCAGGAAAAACAAATCTATCTATACAATGGTAGAAAACAAAAAGGAAATCTCTGTGTGCTAGCTTTGTTATCAATCCCAAACTGTGACAGTTATGGCTGTCCCATACAGGAAGTGCTTAGTCATGACAGAAAAGGAATTAAATTATGGGTCTTGGTCCTACGGTTTCAGGCATCTACTGTAGCATGAATCTTAACAGTTCTTATTAATAAAATCAAACCCGGGGCCAGTTATTGGGGTGAACACTGGATGGTCAGAGAGACAGAACAAGCCACAGCTAACCTCACTTGGCCAACTTCTCAGCTGGTCTTGTTTCCTCAGACTGGAAGCCTCTGAGTCCTCATATCCGAATGGCTCTCAGCTGAACTGTGCAGCTAGAAGCCTGAAAGCTTAACCAGCCAAATGCTTCTAGTTTCTGGTCTTCACACCTTATATACCTTTCTGCTTTCTACCATCACCCCCTGGGATTAAAGGTGTGTGTCACCATGCCTGGCCATTTCCAATGTGGCCTTGAACTCACAGAGATCCAGAGGGATTTCTACCTCTGGAGTGCTAGGATTAAAGGTGTGAGTGCCACCATTTTCCAGCCTTTGTATCTAGTGGCTGTTCTGTCTCTGACCCCAGATAAGTTTATTAGGGTGCACAATATTTTGGGGAACATAATACCACCATAATCTACTGACCATTAGAGCCCATCCTGTGTATGAGAAGGGACTACTGTACTCGACATACTGTATATATTCACTCACCCACCCACCCACGTGGGCGGTGAAGAAAGAGAGGAGCAGAAATGTGCAGGGGAAGAAAAAGGAGACGGGAAGAGGAATGAAGGGAAAGACAGGATTACCATACACACAAGCAGTCTCTCAGCTTGTTACTGTTGATCATGTGTGGGCGTGCACAAGTGTGCACACACACGCATACACCACACACACACACACACACACACACACACACACACACACAGAGTCTGTAAACATGCCCTGTTAGTGTGTTGCAGCTTTAGTATTTATGTTCTGCAATCAGAAACAGTCATTTTAAGCAATGTGTGTGTGTGTGTGTGGGGGGGGGGAGTAGCTAGTCAAGGGCTTCCTTCCCAGAGTGAGTGCATAACTTAAAAATTTTAAAATAAAGTCCATGTGTCCTGTAAAAGTCTCTTAGCTTTTTCCCCTTTCCAAGAGACAGGTGCATCCCTATCAGATTATGCTCACTTACCTGATAAAATCCAGTAATCTACTGCACAATTATTTTTTTATTAAGTAACTTGATATCCAGCCATATTTGTTTCTCCTTCCTTTCCAAAGGGAAAACCAACACGACCACAAATATCCTAGAGTTGGGAACAGGGAAGGAACTGGGAGCATTTCTTGTCCAGCTTTCATATCTCAGTCATTTAAATATTATTCCAATTTTCTAGGAACATTCAATTGATGGAAGAAAGGCAAAGTATTCCTTTGTAATTTTTAAATATTTAAAAACTATAAGTTAGTAAGTAATTTTTATTTCAAAATTGA